ATCGTACATCTTGATTATGCAAACTATGTGTGTGTCTGGTATGTGTCTGGTGGCTTCTCAAAATGGGGTCAGGAGTGGTTCTAACCCCTGTTTACGTCAGGAACAAGTTCTGTTGTAGAATTTATTATAACTGTTTATCGATTACAATGAATATAAAAGAGTGAGCTTCGTACTTTGTAAAACTACTCTTTACAACAAAAAAAATCAAATTACAAGCTCCTTAGAAACAAACGCAGGATCGTTGTTTGGATCGCTGCTTGCGCGGGATCTTTGACTGTGCCGGGGGTGCGTTAGTCCGTGGACCACCGATTCACAGATTCTGGTTGAATCGTGAAGGTTTTGGGGATTCTTCCTTCGTTTATCGAAGTAAGAATTTGAAGCGAATATCTTATCAATGTAAGATGTTCACTCTTCTAAAGATCAAGTCAGAGCTTAGATCTCTAGGAATCGACAAAAGCTTCTTGAGGATGTTTGTGAAGAAGGAAGACTCTCTCTCTTGCTCAAATTCACAAAAAGCTCAAGTCTCTCTGCCTTAATTGCTCTCCTCAATCTGCCCTCCTGTCAATGATGGTCCTAGGGGGGTATTTATAGCCTCATTGGATGATAACTGAAGAAAATAACCGATCAGCAACTGCTCATTTGGGCGCGGCAGCCAGGGGTGACCCGGCTGAAGAAGGGCTTTTGGCGCGACAGTCATAGGTGGCGCGGCTGAAGAGATTCCTTTGGCGCGGCAGCCATAGGTGGCGCGGTCAAAGGAGTGATTCCCCCTTTAGTTTTTGTAACCGCCATCCCACGACTTTTAACTCCTTAAATGTCACGATTTTCGTGGGTAGTGGGCATGATTTTCGCTTGTAACTGCTTCCCCCACGTTCATAAGTGACCCCCAACAGTTAATAAGCCATGTGGGCCGCACAAAACTCGAGAAAACTGTCAAAAATGACGTGTTCAGCTTCTCAGTAGCCGCGACAGTGTACAGTGGCGCGCATTGCCGCGGCAGTTACCACTGCCGCGCATCTTCCGGGTATTTTGGCTCTAACTTCCTCATCCGATGTCGGAATGATGTGATCCAAAATGCGTTGGAAAGCTATCGAAGAGATCTACAACTTCCCATAGGTGTGTCACTCTGTTTGTGTGCACAACACCTTCCACTGCCACGCCTATGCGCGTCAGTGTTCCTTGTCGCGGGTGGTCATATTGTTCTTCTATGTTATTTCACATGTTTCTTTGCTTCTCTTGGCTTTGGATGATCTCCTCTGACTTAGATAGTGACATTCATACCTATAGGCATTTTTAGACGCCTACAGATACCCCCTCCAAAGTATCTCAGACTCATTCTTTTATAGAGGAGTCTGGGACACTTTGGATAAGATAAGTCTTACTTGCAATCCCTTCAGTATTTAGTTGAGAAGATCGTGTAGAAGGACCTGTGAATGGCTTCAACTCTTGACTTCTTCATCTTTTAGTCTACTCAGTGTTTTGTAGAATAGCTAAAATTCTTCCGGTGTTGCGTTTATCGCTTGACCATTATCGAAGTCTTGAACTGAAACTGATGTTTTGATTTGTGAATTAGCTCTTGTCGTTGAACTGATGTTGAACTGGTTTTCTTCATTAGGAATTCATATCTGGATCGCAATTGAATACCCTAAGATCATCCATTGGATTTTTTTTCTTAGCCTTATTTTGACAAAAATCATTGACGCGTTGACAGGCGTTAACACAGTTTATCCTCGTGTGTTTACTGGAGTCTACACAGTTTAAGCTCTTAAGACGTTGGAGCATAGCGGTCCTGAGTATCGAGGCTGCAGGACCAATTGTTCAGGTTGGTTCATCTGCAGGTATGGATTTTATTCTGAGTTTGTCAAATACTCAAGTCACGAGACCAACTAATAAAGCTGGTGCGTCAGTGATTATCGCATTTATAGGATTTTTGGCAAACCCTCAGCCATCAACGTGTTTGATGAGCCTTTACCGATTACCGTTTGAATCGGGCTAGCATGCAGATTGTTTAAGTCCGTTCTGCATGTAACGTTGTGCTAAAAGAATAAACTCTCTTAGACTTGGTGCTATGATGTTGAATACATAGACTTGATCATTTTCGCGGGAACGGGCCACCCGGCAACGCGTATTAGGCGAGGTTTATCTCTAATAAGGGATCGAGATAAAGTCCCCCATGCATCAAACATGGATTTGGAAATGTTGATGGGTTACGTATTTTTGGTGAAACGATGAACCTAACACTGGAGAGGAAAAATTTTATATTCTATCTCCTGGTCTCTTTTTTATTGGTAGAGATGAACCCGATGATGGAGAGGAAGAACTTTATATTCTATCTCCTGGTCTCTTTTTTGTTGGTAGAGATGAACCCGATGATGGAGAGAAAGAATTTTCTATTCTATCTCTGGTCTCTTTTTTGATGGTAGAGATGAACCCGATGATGGAGAGGAAGAATTTTATATTTTATCTCCTGGTCTCTTTTTTATTGGTAAAGATGAACCCAAAGATGGAGAGGAAGAATTTTATATTCTATCTCCTGGCCTTTTTTTTGTTGGTAGAGATGAACCCGATGCTGGAAGGAAGAATTTTATATTCTATCTCCTGCTGCAAAAGAAACTCAAAGTGGGATCTCCACTTCGAGAATCCGAAAAGGCGAAACTAAGAGTGGGATCTCTACTCCGAGAATCTGAAAGATTTTGATAACCCTAACAGTTGGAAGGTTTGACTATCCAAACTGAAGGTGCATTTCTCGTTTATCGAGATGACATTCTAACTTCGGCCCTAACTGTTTAAAGATTTGACTAGGTGGGAGTTTGATACGATCCTAAATGTTTAAAGGTTTGATCATTCAATTTGTGGACCTCTCGTTCATGGAAGGAATCGAGAGGGGATTTTGGCTTTGGTCCTAACTGTTTAAAGGTTTGACCATGTGGGAGTTTGATACAATCCTAACTGTTTAAAGGTTTGATCGCTCAATTTTGTGGACCTCTCGTTCATGGAAGGAGTTTGATACAATCCTAACTGTTTAAAGGTTTGATCGCTCAATTTTGTGGACCTCTCGTTCATGGAAGGAATCAAGAGGGGATTTTGGCTTTGGTCCTAACTGTTTAAATGTTTGACCATGTGGGAGTTTGATACGATCCTAACTGTTTAAAGGTTTGATCGCTCAATTTTGTGGACCTCTCGTTCATGGAAAGAATCGAGAGGGAATTTTGGCTTTGGCCCTAACTGTTTACATGTTTGACCAAATGGGAGTTTGAGACGATCCTAACTGTTTAAAGGTTTGATCATTCAATTTGTGGACCTCTCGTACATGAAAGGAATCGATAGGGGATTTTGGCTTTGGTCCTAACTGTTTAAAGGTTTGACCATGTGGGAGTTTGATACGATCTTAACTGTTTAAAGGTTTGATCGCTCAATTTTGTGGACCTCTCGTTCATGGAAAGAATCGAGAGGGGATTTTGGCTTTGGCCCTAACTGTTTAAAGGTTTGACCAAATGGGAGTTTGAGACGATCCTAACTGTTAAAAGGTTTGATTGTTCAATTTGTGGACCTCTCGTTCATGGAAAGAATCGAGAGGGGATTTTAGCTTTGACCCTAACTGTTTAAAGGTTTGACCAAATGAGAGTTTGAGACGATCCTAACTGTTAAAAGGTTTGATCGTTCAATTTGTGAACCTCTCGTTCATGGAAGGAATCGAGAGAGGATTTTGGCTTTGGCCCTAACTGTTTAAAGGTTTGACCAAATGATGATTTGAGACGATCCTAACTGTTTAAAGGTTTAATCGTTCAATTTGTGGACCTCTCGTTCATGGAAGAAATCGAGAGGGGATTTTGGCTTTGGCCCTAACTGTTTAAAGGTTTGACCAAATAGGAGTTTGAGACGATCCTAACTGTTAAAAGGTTTGATCGTTCAATTTGTAAACCTCTCGTTCATGGAAGGAATCGAGAGAGGATTTTGGCTTTGGCCCTAACTGTTTAAAGGTTTGACCAAATGATGATTTGAGACGATCCTAACTGTTTAAAGGTTTAATCGTTCAATTTGTGGACCTCTCGTTCATGGAAGAAATCGAGAGGGGATTTTGGCTTTGGTCCTAACTGTTTAAATGTTTGACCAAATAGGAGTTTGAGACGATCCTAACTGTTAAAAGGTTTGATCGTTCAATTTGTGAACCTCTCGTTCATGGAAGGAATCGAGAGAGGATTTTGGCTTTGGCCCTAACTGTTTAAAGGTTTGACCAAATGATGATTTGAGACGATCCTAACTGTTTAAAGGTTTAATCGTTCAATTTATGGACCTCTCGTTCATGGAAGAAATCGAGAGGGGATTTTGGCTTTGGTTCTAACTGTTTAAAGGTTTGACCAAGCAAACGGAGGGAGTGGAGGTACAAATAACAGTAGGAATGTAGATTTGCACAAATCACTCAGAAGAGGTTTTCGGTAACCAGTGACGAAAAGGGGTTGCCAATTGTCATGGATTGAAATTTTGGGTGTTGTGTCAAAGCTTAACAGTGGGAGTGTTAAAGGCTAGGACACAACGGGAGTTTGGGTAGATTTAACCATGAAGCATTTTGGTGGACCTACCATCAGTTGATTTGTTCGGTGATGGATTTTATGGTGAAGGACTGTGAATCATCAAGCACTCCACAACTAGACCGTAGGAGTTTCGTGAGGAAAGACTGATCCGATGAGGTCATTGAATCTCGTCTCAACGAAAGAGTACTTGGAAAGTCACAATGGGAGTTGACGAAATTGATCCCGACTATTAAAACCAACCAAGAATCGGATAAAGGAAAAGCAAATGGGACATGCTTCATCCTTGAAGGATTTCAGAGTTTCGTGAAGGAAGATTGACTTGATGAA